TAGGGAAAGCAATTGGGACTCGCAAGGAGAATGGCCTCAGTGTATGAGGTTTATGGCAAACCCCAGAGGAGTCCTGGCTTTGCAACAGCTACTGTAAGCCAGTGGACATCTGCCCAGCATCTAATGCAGTGCAGTAACCATCTTAGGAGTTAATAGGATTAATTAACGTGCAACCCCAGGATAAAAAGGGGCAAGGGACTGAAAGACATTTCTACCAAGGGATGTTACTCCCATGTCAGGGTAAGCTTAACAAGTGCTTTCCTCTGCAGAATGACGCAGGTGGAAAGGGACCCCTGAAGGTCTCTGGTCCAAGCCCCCACTCAAAGCAGGACCAAATTGGAGTGGGTTCCTCAGGATCTTGTCCAGCCAAGTTCTGAACATCTCCCAAGCATGGAGACGGTTGTACATAGACTGTCCGAACTTGAGGAAGGGCGGAAAATACTATGCCAGGCTCCAGCCCAAGATGGTCATAAAGAGCTCTCACAGCTATCACAGAACTATCCACCAGTGTAATTCTCTCTACTCACGACCTACATGTGGAGATGACGCCTCTCAGCCCGTCTCCCACAACAGTGTCATAAATAGCAAACACTGATACCAGATATTCTGTGTGTGAAGTCAAGTTGGCAAGCCGCAAAGAGGAGATTGCTCCATCTAAAACCACCTGAAAGCACAAAGGAAGGCAGTCAAGATGGTGAGGTAACAGCCATTCTCTAGCAAAGAAATGGCTGAACCAGCCTTCCCTAGCAGGTGTGACTTCTCTGTGGCAGTTCTGGGCCAGAAACATGAAGTCCAATTGCCCTCCTAATTTTGTGCCAGTTAGTATCTCTGGGGAGGCTCTCTTGCCCTCCCTAAAACAGATAAGGCCTTAAGGATGCCTGTCCTCTAAGGATGGGATCTGTACAAACATCTAGCACAAGGCTCTAACAGCACTCTCACTGAAATCAAAGGAAACCCATCAAGCATTTGGATTTGCTCTTCTGTTTTATTATATCCATCGTAGGTCAGCATCCTTAGGCAGCTCAATGTACTGGCATGTCCACACCAAGTGATACCAGCGCCCCACGGGCTTACAAGGAGCCAGTCTTGTGACATGGGTCAGCCTTGCTGCACAGAAGGGGCTCAGCGCACGGCGGCCAGAAGGGAGATGCTGAACGCCCACAGGTTGAGAAAGAAGAATGGCAGCTGTGAAACTAGAAATCTATTTTCTCTGAATATTGAAAGGCTGAGCAATCAGAGGAAATCATATTAACAGTGGGAAAGCATCAATGATTCTGGCCTTCAGGGAACTGCAAGCCACGGTTGCTCACCCAGCTGAAGATCTAAGGGCAAAATTGATAAGAGCTTCCTCCTGGGTCAAAGTCCATTGAACACCCCCGCCCTGGATTCAATGACGCTACACAAGTGGAATGGAGGGCAGTACCTGCCACCTCAACAACAGCAAGGTCCTGAAAGTTTTGGCCTGTAGTCCCCAAATTATTATTTTTATGATACCATGGTGATAGCAAATGCTTTACAGACAAAACTGAAGGGCAAATATGTACATAACTGAGCTTAGTCAGAACAGATGCTTTAGGGAGGGGATAACACTGTTTAAGAGACAAAAATTTGCATCAGAATGTCTTGCAGTATGTCTGGCAACATGATATTTATCCCTATTCCTCTTTTGTCTTGCCATCCTATCTGCTGACCACACGTGTAGTTACAGCGTTCATTTAATTTCATACCTGGCTTTAGCTGATATCCCGTGATAATTGCACTTCTATCCTTGTCTCTTTGTCTGTTCAAGTCTATTTAAATTCTCAGCCATCACCTGGAAGATACTGCTGTCTCAGATGTCCAAAGAAAGGCCTCTCACCTCTTTGGGGATGCCACCCCTAGATGGATAATACACAACACGGTATTTCTTTGGTGGTGTCAGAGGAGGATTCCAGGTCAAGTGCATGCTCTTAGAGGTCACAGCTGATATTTTAAGGTCAGTTGGGCTCAGCTGGGGACTCGAGTTCACAGGGATATCTTTCACAGTGCTACCTAGGAGTTCAAAACAGTTACTTTCTTACATTATCTTCTCATGCCAAATGTACTTTCTGACTCATAAATATGAGTGAAATTTTTCAAATCAAGTTACAGTCTTCTTCCCTATAGAGTATAGAAACTGTTACAGACTCTTCTGAAATAAATATTAAAAAGCTAGGCATACAGAGAACATAAATACTCCACTGAGAACAAGTCCTGTATTTTGATGGATGCTAGGAATATATTTTCAGTACAAGCCTGAATTTTTGCCTTTATATACAAAAGATGGCCCAGCTTTCTTCAATCCTGAAGATTTGTCAAAATGAACAAGCAGAAGGTATTTTAGTTGCTTTTTTAAACAACCCATCTTACTTTAGGCTAACTTGTACGTGCAAAAAAACAATCTAATTGTATCAAACAAGTACAAATTAATAGGGACAAGTCAATGTATCTCTATGACTCTCCAGAGCATTAAAGTATGTTTAAAAGTTTGACTCTCCCATTCTCCTTAGGCCAATCTGTGAGCAGAGAGAGATGAAAGTATGCACAGGATCTCTCTCCTGAGGCTCTACCATCTGGAGTGGTTCTTCACTCTTTGGTCATCACACAAGCTGCTCTCCAGCAAAGGAAAGAGATTGTTCATTTTTAACTTGAAAATGCCTTGGAGATCCATCATTTAAAATAAAGTGTGGAGGAAAATTGTTTTTAGATGTTTTATTTTCTCCTCTTTCATCCTCCACATTTCCACCTTAATAGCTCCCTAATGTCTTCCCATATTAGTCCTTTTACTTTCTGCCTCCTCCTGGCTGGAAGAAACTCTGAGAAGAAAAAGGTGACAACGCATTTATTTGACAGCAGGGCAATGGAAGTGGGTGGATAAGCCCTCTCTTCACTGCAAAAGTGGAGACTGTCATTGTTATTGGCCACTAAGAGCCATCCGAACTGCTGGTAAGAATGGTCATTGCCTGTACTGGCACACAGTCCAGGAAGAGATAACTCAACTGAGCAGCAGAATGGAAATAATTACAGGTAATATCTCTCTGTGACTTGTTACAGACAGTAGTGAGTCTGCAGTCAAGCAAGGGAGAAGAACTACATCCAAAGGGTCTTGTAGAAAATAATGAGCACGCGTGAAACTCGACGACAAGGGGACACAGCAGGAGCATTGTCGGGCAACAACAGAGCCGACCAAGGAGACCAGCATGGGAGGAGAAGAGATAGGCAGAACTGAGAAGATGGTAGAGCTCATGGAGAGAAAGGTAGGAGAAAGAATCCAGCCTGGTGGTGAGGAAGGTGCATGGCCAGCAGGGAGGAAGCTAAGCCTACACACAGCAGGTTTCACTTCACCTTTGTTTTCACCGTTCTTCCTCTCTTTGATCCTGGTGCACAAGACCCGGGTGAGCCTGCCAACCAGAGAGCTCAGCAGGGGGAAATCCAGCACGTTGTACACTGTGAGCTCCAGTGGCTCCGAGGCCACCTGCTTCAACTCTGCCTCATCAGCATTCTTCACCCCTGGTAACAGAGAGCAGAGAACAAGACTGAGAAAATTCCCAAGAGAGGAGCAGTTTTCAGGCCTTCCCCCTGCTTATGTGCTGTTTATACAGCGGCAGAATGGGGCTTCCATCCTTGTGCTCTCCAAGTAGAGCCTCCCAGTCTTCCCAGTAGGGTGGTGGTTTCCGAGAATGGCCTTGGCCTTTTCAGTCCAGCCTGGGAATGGTTTTAAACTCTGTGGGGTCAGAAGGTGTTTTGTGGTCTGGAGACTCGTATTTTCCTGCCTCCCCATCACTTGCAGGCTTTGCTACCAGGAAGGCAGATATTTTTCACCCTAAGAGGCAGTTGGCATAGGTGAGGAAAGGAGCGAATGGATAAACATTTCTATATTTGTGAGGTGCCAGCATTCCCCAGTCTGTTGTTCATCAGAACATCACATTGCATTTCAAAGAGTTGGGGATGAATAAAAAGCACACCATTTATTTCGCAGAACTTCATCACCACAGAGCATCCTTTGCCCCTACCCTTTTAGTCCTCATCCTCATTAACCCTTTGCAAACCAAGCCCCACAACAGACCATGGATTTTGCTTCCCAGCTCAGAGACAGCACCAGGGCCAGAGCAGATCAAGGCTTAATCCTTCTTCACACTCACTTTTCACAGCATTCAGTGCTGACACGAATGGCAGGACCATGGAAACTAAATTCACTGCTTGACCCTCTAAAGACGTTTTGCTTCATCACATGACAACTCAACCTATTACACTCAAGCACAGCCCTGATTTCACCCTCCCACATGGCTCAGAGCAGCTGTGCCCCCACTGCATGTACAGGAAGGGTTCACATTCAAACCAGTTCCCACATAGACTATATGCTCTTGCAGAGAAAGTTAAGGTACTTTGGAAATTACAGCTCAGACTCTGATATGTAAAGACCAAGTGATATGATCTTCCTCTAGTCAGAGAGGAAAGAGAAAGACACCAGCCAGGAACACCTTCAGGTGATTTCAGGTGCCCAAATATTAATCCATTGCACTGCAGAATACACAGCTGAGGCTCAGCAGCTCCATTCAGTCTGTGAAACAAATCACAGCGCCAGCCATGTAGCTACATAACCCTACGTAATAAACCCTTGCCTGCGTATTCCTGGAATAAATTAGCCCTTTAAGCTTTGGGGAATGCAATTTTAAGAGAGTTTTCTCTGTAACTTTATTGCCCAGGTATTAGTCTCTAGCAGACTCATTTAGTCATCAAGGACAGAGCTGCACAAACCATTTTGTGTCTCGTTATTGCTGCCAGATAGTGAAGAGCAGACAGTGTTGTTATGCCAAGAAATGGAAAGCTGTGAGAGGCAGTAATTACAAAGGAGCTCCCCTGCCCTCCCCAATACAATATCACTTGTCTAATTCCATATGTGAAAACATTGTTCTCATGGTACAGGTCCCTGAGGCTGGCAAGGTCTTTATAGATGGGAGGTGTGAAATCTTTCATATGAACTAGTGTTTTTTTTCTTTTTTAAACAAATAAAATCCCCTTTGAAGACACTGCCTGTGCTGAATAAATGAGCCACAACTCAGTGAGGTCTTGCCCACTATCTTAGTTTTAGAGCTTCAAGTTGCTCCTATCAAAGCCTTCGATCTGAACAAGAGTGAAAACAGGTTAGCCTTTTCCCACAGCTTAATAGTTCCTCAATAGCTGTGATCTTACCAATGGCAAATATCTCTATACCCATGTTTTTCAAGGTCTGAGCGATCAGGTTGGCGTCATCTTGGGATTTTCCATCAGTCAAGAGGATCACCAATTTCTCTGCCTCCAGTCGGGCACCAGATTCTGGTTTTAGATTCTGTTCCAGGACATGGGTCAAAGCAAGGCCTAGGGAGGAGCAGAGAAGGATGGTATGCTAGAGCATCACAAACAGTCCTCAACTTTTCTTTTCCTGCCACACAGTGGCCTTGTTCCCCATGGAGGATTATCCTCCTATAAGGACAGCTTCCTGGCTTGCAGCCTCAGAGACCATTTAGCAGACATCTGAGGGCTGGAGTTACCTGTAAACGTGTTGCCGCCCTTGTACCGCAAGTTCCTCACTGCCTCCAGCACCTCGTCCCTCGTAGTGTAACTGTTCAAATCCCACTCTGTGCGAGGATCACTACTGTACTGTGACAACCCTGGGGAAGGCAAGAGTTATCAGCATCATGCAAGCCAACATAAGCTGCAAGATGAGACCTATTTGGGGAGGAGAAGATTACAGGCTTGTCATGAGAGGTTGACAGAAAATCGTGAATAGAGTGCTGGATGGGAGGCCAAAAGAACTGGGTTCTAGCTCCGCTTTTCTCCATGATCCTTAGCACAGAGGCAACGAGGTTATGTCTCAAGCCCCACCAGGTGCAGTGTTACTTATCCCTGCAGTGGTGCTCTGAAGTAGCTGACAATGTCTCAGTATCATTCAGGAATGCTCCCAGGTCAAACTAAGCAGCTGCAAGGAGTAGGAAGGATTTTCACTGTCTCCACAGGCCACATACATTCTGTTCTTTTTAATCTTTCTCCTTTCCACTCCATACTTGTGTCAGTTTTCTCCCTAGCTGAGATGAGCCAAATTTTTAACCAAAGCTTTTTGGTTAAAAGCTACTCTGAGGGTCTCTTGCTTTGTGCACAGGTTGCCCCATGTCATCAGCTGGATTGAGTGTCACTCAGAACTGGAAGCAGTACTGTTCTGAATCAAAGCAACTCCAGTGTGGCACTGACATCATTCTGTGAGCACCACATCATATCTAGGCAGAAAACCTCAAACGTATCCCAGCATTAAGCGCTCCCTAAATGCCTGACTTGGTGCTGCTCAGAAGATACTGCTTCTGTTCATGGTGCAGCTATTTTTTACAGCCTCTAGAGGCCACAGCCTTGCTACCAGACAGGAAAAGCTGTCAAGAGTGGCATGCTGCACCCCAACCTAGAAGAATAAAAGCTCCTTGGAGTAGCATATGAACACACAAACAGAGACCACAGCTCCTTCAAACACAGCTGTGTTTCCAGAGAAATTTCCCAAGGTTAGGAAACAGGAAGCTTTCCTACCTACTCTTATCTTGTCCTGGGCAATATTGAATGGGGAAATCAAAGTGCTCAGGAAGTCTTTAATGAGCTTGAAATTGTTGCGTCCGATACTCCAAGAGCCATCCACAAGCAGGACGATATCAGTCATTGCAGATGTGTCACACTGAAACTGGGAACCTGAGGGAGATAACGTTTGATATTGAAAGAGCAAAAAGGAGGGAAAAAAGGCTTGAGTTTTAAGATAAGAAACAAATATGAAGTGTAAAACCTTGTCTGGGTGGCAGATTGGACCATCTGCCAGCCTGACACATCCTAGCATCTTGGTAAAAAATATGCAGCTAAGGGCAACAGGTTTCAGTACCAAGAAGCTGCATGGCGGGCAGTTGCATTTCTGCAATTGAGGGGTTAAATCTGTCAGAAACTGTGCTCCTAACCAAGGCACTGCTCTCTGCAAACTGTCAGCTCGATTACATCTCAGCCCTAGTCTAGTGCTTCCCTTTTATCTCACTTTATGTCTCAAAGAATTGCAGGTGATTGTTTAATTCCATTCCACCACAAGATTCCCTGTGGGCTATAGTTATTTAGTGGCTTTATATTAAATCCAATCTCTTCCTAAAAACCTGCTGGCATCACAGATACTCAACCCTGCCTTTCTCCCCACCCCAGGCCTGCAGCTTTACAGAGGATAAGATAGGGCATGTTGCTGATCAGATGCATCTTCCCTGAATACTTTTCAGATGGGGGATTTTACATCTGTGGTGGAGTGGAATAGATAAGATCACGAAGATTCAGCAGGCTGCAGATAAGTTATTCTCCCATCTCTTTTTCACAGCCATGGCTTCCTACTGGTGTCCAGGGACCAAATGCAGATGCTTGCCAATCCCATTTCCACCAGTAAGAGTCCTCTTCAAAAGTGCTGTGAAACATCTATCCTGCCATATTCTCACCGACAAAACTGAAGGATCAGAATGGATCAGCTATCTGGGAAATATGAAGAACAAGTCCAGGATGTGAAGCAGGCTGGGTAATCAACACCATTGATGCACTCCTCATCTTCTGAAGATTTATTTGCCCTTTGGATAGGTCCATGGCTGGGTGGGACTCTTCAAGAATCCAAACCCTTACATGCTTCTTTCGGAAGTCTGGGGAGGTGACAACATGTGTCAGGAGCACAAATTCTAACTTGTGAAAAGTAGGCCTCTGAAGACTGGAAGAAATCTTTGAAACAATCAGGAGTTTGCTGCCAGTCTGTACTGATAAAAGCTGTTAGCTATAGATGTAATGTTACGGCCCATGTTGGAGAGCAGCAGCTGTGAGCAGGGGAGCGCTATACATCCTATTTTATAAGTGGGGAAATGAAAAAAGAATATGAGTTTGAATCCAGGCTGCCTCCATCCCAAACATAGAACGTTCTTTCCCTCCACAGACTAATAGATCAGGATAATTGAGACAATGACTGGAGAGTCTGAATAAGAAACTCACAGTCTACATTCAGACTATTCATCCCTCACAGCGTGGGACAGTCCACCTGAATCATATGGTATTGCTCTGTTTCTTCAGTGGATAACCCAAACCTGTAAACTGCAAAATCATGAATGAAGGATAGAGGAGAACGAATAAGTGAACCCTCCAGAAGGAATTTTTTGCCTAACTCCAGTTTGCCTTAAAATTTGTGATGCTTTGCAGAATTGCAAACTTTTGCAGTGATCCGTGATAGCTTCCCAAAGCATGACATAGCAAATAAAAGTAAAATCAACAGCATTCTTATTCCTGGTGACAGATAGTGGGCTGGAAGGCTTGTATTCAACAACCTTAGGGAACACAGTGTGAAAGGAGCAATGTGTTTGAGATCCCACTCACCTCTCCTCAAGGAATCCTTTCTGGGTTTTTCTTTGCCTAGAGACTCTTGTCCTGAGTTTGCAGGAGTGCGCTGCAGTAATTTAGTGCTTGTTGTTGTTGCTTCTGTCACGCTGGCCTCAGCACTGGGTTGGTTTCTCACAGCTTCACCTGAGACCTTTGACTGACTCCCCTTCTGCCTTTTCTTTTCAGTTCTGTCCTTTGCTGTGCTCCAAAAAGAAAAATCCCATTGTCCCTAGCTGTGTTATCACCCATGCAAACTGCTGCATTCATTGGCTGATTTCAGCCACATCTGTCAGAAGTGTAGGGGATACAGAGAAGATAAAAGTCCAATAAGCTTTATGAAAACAGGTGGCTACACAGAAAATATGATCTCCATTCATGCCTCTCTGAAGGAAGGGCTGCATATCGGCTCATGAGTTAACATAAGAAAGTCTGTACTCGATCACATCAAAAGTTTGTTCATTCCTTTGTCTTTGACATTGAAGAATAACGAATGTCTATAAAATATAAAACCAGGGAAAACATAGCATGATATTTGATACCAGGTGTACTCTCCAGACCCCAGCAATCAGGGACTCAGAGACATCTTGGTCTTTATGTATAATGGCCCCTGTGGATCTTTCTTTCAAGAACATCAATAACTGCTTTTTAAACAAATGAAAACCTTGTTTTAGGCACAAGAGAATCTATGCAGGTTATGCACAAGCCTCAGCCATAGGGGCGAGCTTACACCTTTTTGGAGACCAGCTGCAGACTTGGGACACAAAGCTTAGGAAATCGGCATCTTTAGCTCCAGTGCTCATGGAACAACTTGTTCTCAAAGGATCAGCGCTCAGCTAAAGGATTTGACAGTATCTGCTGAATTTGAATACCTGTCAGCCCCAGGCATGCATGGATGTAGTTTGTCTGGCTGGAGAGTTTGGCTGGGATGAGGGACAAATACCTTAGGCTGCTTACTGTGTTTTTTGTAGTTAGGAGATATACGTGAGGGACGAGAATGAACCACCACGTCTTACTGAATGAATGCCCCGGACAAGATAAGGATTGCATGGAAAAAGGTGGACGTGATGCTGGGGGACAGCTGTGCTTAACACTCTGAACAGCCCTTGTGACTCAAATCCACAAGATACTTGGACTGGGAAATATCTTCCTGACGTAAAAACAGGAGTCGTCATCTGAAGACCATTCCAAACCCAAGAGGGCTGTCCCCCTGCAGAATGGATTTCCATTTCTTACCTGCACTAGTAGCACAGCAGAAGCTCTGGCTCAGAGCTGCCTAGTGCGAGACACTGTATGAACACAGATCAGACACATGGCCCTTTTTCTCAGAGCACACACATCCTTACCCAAGCACCAGTCCATCACGCCCCTGGGCATTGCTCCCTAATGGTCTGCGCACCTACCTGTCTGCGTCAGGACTGCAAGAACTGAGATTCTTTTCTGACATGCTTCCTGAGTTTCTTCGGTTATTTCTAGTCTGGGATGCATTTTTGAGCTCCTCAACTATAGGAACAGCAAAACAGGAAGATGGAGTCAAAGTAGCCAGGTCTGTGAGCTTCACAGTCCATCCCTCATCCCTTTGGTCTTCACTACTCCCTTTCTAACCTCCCAAACAAAATGATAACAGACACTGTTATGGCAGCACAATCTACAGGGCACAGGCCAGAGGATGAACTCTGAAGAGCCAAGTCTCTGAGCGCCTCAAGGGCTCTCTGAATGGAGCAAAGAAAAGTAGCGTGCACTACTTACTTACGAATTTCCTTTTGGCAAACAGGGCTTCCTGGGAGCCATTAAGCACATAGACCTGCAATGTGTATTCCTTGGTAGGGCTCAGCCCCCCAACTGTGGCTTTGGGAGTCTTGGTTTTCAGCATAACTTCTTGCTCCGAGTCCCCTGAGGGAGGATGAAGCCACAGTTTAGAGCCTGTTAGAGTTTAAATTTAAGCTGACAGTAGCAAAAGCTCAGTGGAAATGCAGAGAATGCCTGTCTAGGAACCTCAGTCAACTATTTCCTATTTAATTTTGTGGATCTCTTCATGATTTTTACTCTTTTTCCAGTCCAAGGTTGAGAAAGTATTTTAAAATCCTTGATACATGCCCAAAACAGAAAACCAATTTATACCTAGCATTAGTGTGACTCTCATCACCTTCTCCAGAAGCTGCTGATATTTAAACCTCTGAAAAGCCAGTCTTTAGAGGCTGTCAAGTTGGGCCATTACCATTATGGCGCCATTTGGGCCATAAAGACCACTTATGAAAATAGCCCAGTGTTTTGCTTCAGATCACACATGACAAAGTGAGGAACTGGCTCTGCCTCTCCTAAGGTCCTAGCTGGCACTTGGGATTCACCTTGCTTATCTTGGCCGCTCTTGCCGTACTATCTATCCCAGCAAGCCCCATCTCTCTCTAGAGAATCAGCTGCTGTCTGCAGATAGACAGCTCATTTCTGGAATCAGCCCTGCTTCCAGCTCCCTACTGCCCTTGCTTACACTCCCATCACCACCAGGCCTCCTGATGAGCCTCACTGCTCTATGAAGGCAGGTAGGTCTGTTCAGACTCGCTCACACCTGGAAAGGAAACTCATTCTGGCTCCTTCCTTCATTAGCCTGTGGTGCTGCCGTGACAGCAGCGAGTAGGGAGAGACACAACTGTAAGGAAGAGGGAGGAGAACAGAAGAGATGGGTGCTAAGGCCCTGATCCAGATCAGATCGTCCAGTGTACCTGCATTATGGGAACAGGCATTTGCACTTAGCTACAGCTGCAGTGACACTTGCTAAGGGAGCTGCCAGCCATTTGGCAGCGGCACACAGAAGCACTGCCCAAGCAGAACCTCTGCTTACTGGTGCCTGCGAGTCCAGGCATAGACCTTCAGATCTGGCTCACCATGCCTCTGTGGTGGTATTTCTGAGTCAGACTCGTGCTGCAGGGCTCATGGACCTCCAGCAATGCCTCACGGCCCATGGAAGCTGTCCTGGGGCTGTGATCCCTCTGACCAGCTGGGAGCTGGGTTGCTTCCACATTAATATGTCAGGGAGCAGATGGAGCAAGACAGCTCTTCAAAGCAGCGGCCAAATGCAGCACAGTGATCTCTCTGTTACTGGGGGTGGTTGGACTATCCCAGGTGATATGGGGAAAGTTTGGGATCACAGGAACAAAACGATTTTTTTTGGAAAGAGACAAAAAAATCTGCTCTCTAAAATGCTTTGATTAAGAAAGATTCATGATTCTGTAATTATGGTGACGGATGAATTTCTGACCCCTCAGTTCCTGTGCTCGTGCTTAGTTGGAGAGCTAGAAATGGAGCTCCCCAGCCTATGCAGCAGGGAAAGCCTTAGGCATGTATCAGGGAGCACATGCCTGAGTGCGGGAAGGGAATTCCCTGCATTCTCGGGATGCTCACTGTTCTCAACCCACCACCAAGGCCTGGAGAGGAACGGGATGCTCACTGTTCTCAACCCACCACGGCCTGGAGAGGAATAGGGGAAGGTAGGAATGAGAAACGTTTTGCTCCTGCTCAGTAAACAGGTGCAGGCTGAGCTAAAAGCAGGCAGAGAAGCAAATGTCCTCCTATCAATGGCTCTGCGTGTATGCATTCCTGGCTCATAGCTCCCCTCCTCTGGCTCACTGGGATAAGGGCAGTGACTGCAGAGCTCTCTGAAAACCAAATGCCAGCTGAGACTAAGGTTTCCCCTTTGCTGCCAACTACTGCTCCTGCCGAGGGATGTAGTGTCCTTTCAATACGGCCAGCGTCAAAGGCCAGGAGAGCTGGAGCCCTGCCAGGGCAGGGAGCCAACAGGCTGAACCCAGCTACTGTACACACGCTGCAGGGTCAAGGACTTCCCGTCCTGAGTCCCTGCAGTGGAAGGGGGAGCTGGAGCTAGGAATCCCCAGATGAGCCAAGTATGGGCACAGCGGTTCTAATGAGAGTGGATACAACAGGAAAGGGAATCAGAGCAGAGCCAGTGACATCCTACAGCCATGTCTAGCCAGTTATAACCACAGCACCTTGAATCTGTTTCTTTCCTTCATTCCACTTTGGATAAATATTCAGTAGTGGCAGGCAAGAGAAAAAGAGCATTCAGTGAACACATAATTAATTTTACAGAAGTGGAACAGCTCCCACAGAAGACTCCAACAACCAAACCTTTCCCAATCTCTTCTCTCACACAGTCCCAAATAGTAACAGTTTCTGGCTTAGACATTCCCTGTAGGATGAAGAGGACTGAATTGCAGATCTTTCTTGTGAATCTGCAATAGAGTGATTTGAAAATCCTTTCCTACACCTAAGCTAACATAGTACTATTATTGACTGCTCTCATGCTGGCCAGAAAGGCTCCTCGTCCAGACTGCTATGCACAGCCCACCAAAATTTTTGATCTAGGTTAATCAGCACTTAAAACAAAAACAAGCAGTATATAATTCCCCTTGTCTTAGTTCTATCACACTCATCAAGGCTTGTATTTAAGTTCTGCTGTCCAAGATACACACCACCCCAAAAACTGGGGGTTGACCCCAACTCGTATAGAAATCTTTGCTGGGTCTAATATACAGCCCATTAGCACATACCTGCCATGGGCTTTACCCGAACTTTGTAGCCATTGATGTTCCCTTCGGTTTCTTTCCATTTCATTTGGAGCCTGTCTTCCGAAAGGACAGTGAGCTTCAGTCGACCCGACCCTGGAGGAGAAGTGTCGTGCTGTTACGTATGAAATTCTTCCCATATGCACATGCACAAAATGCCTCATGAGTTGTGTCCTCTGGGAACACGAGAATAATTGCAGTGTAGAGGAAACCTTCACTGTCCCCCCCAAAGTGTTCTGCATCCTCTGACACTGCACTTCAACTCCTACAGTCCTGCACCTCTGCCAAGAAATCTAGCAAGATTTACTCTGTCAAACCTGCAGCTTTCACTCTACGCAAAGAGGAGTTTCTTGGTGTATTGAGTGAGACCTCAGTATATACTTCAGCAAACAGAAGAAATAGTTTGAAATAGAAGTGGTGGCTTTCTCTGCACCCCACACATCTTGAGAGGATCATTCCTAAGAGCTTTTCTGCACCATGTTTTATGCGTGGAATCCAGCGAGCGTGTTAGAGTGCACACTTATGAAATGGGATGGCAGGAGACAGATAAAAGGGACCAGTGACTTGGCTCAGTAGACTTGGGCCATAGAGAAATACAGAAATTCCCAAGGTGATGGATTCCATACTTTGGCAGGAAGATCATTTCAGAGGCAGCTCCAAGGACCAGCTTAAGAAAGAACAGGAAAGAACAAGAAAATCTGACAAAGAGTAAATAACAGTTCTTGACAGGACCATAACTCCTAGGTGTCAGCTTGTACCAGTGTGGTGCAGGGAGCAACAAATTAAAAAGACAAATCCTGAGAAAAAAGAATATCAGACAAGGAAGTAAAAAGAAAAAGAAATAGGGCTAGCCCATTCCCTTAGCATCTCCAGCTTTCACAGAGATCTTTTAACCCCCAGCTAGATACTTCAACTCGTGTCACTCTTTGAAACAACGATTCCTCAGTAAAATATAGCTGCACTGTTGCTATTCATATGAATCTCTTCATTTCACTGGATGAAGGATGGAATATTTATTTCCTCTCTTTCCCGATATTATAACTGACTTTTCAGCAGGCTTCCTTAACGTGCAATGAATGAGTGCATCCTTTGCCTGTATACTGTAAGAATCTGCACTCAAATGCCCATCTTGTTTGCATCTGTTACCAAACGGTTACCAATCAGTCACTATGCCAAAAATGGCCACATGCACGCAGTTGCATGCATGATTACCAGAACTGCACATACATCTGCAATAAGCACGGACATAGATTAGACCCACCGCTGACAACAAATGCAAGAAAAGTGGACAATCAAAGGCACAAACACTGAGCTGAGTGTAGAAGTGTGACACAGTCTAGTATGTTGTTTGCAAATACAAACAGATAGGGGGATCAGTAAAAGCACGGACATTAACTGGGGAAAGAAGAGACAGAAGGAAAGAAAAGGCAAGAACGGGTAATATTCTTGATGTAAGCACAGTGTGGACAGAACCCAGACATATGATTTTTGACATTTTGAAAAATATTTAGAAATTTTATATCTTTCTCTTTATCATTAGTCACAAAAAAGCTTAGGAAGACATGCTCGGAAGTTTCCTGCTCGGTGCTGGCAAACTCTGTGTGCTGCACAGGAATCCTCGGGTTCCTAATCCGGTCTTGTATGACAGCCAGACATCTCCTACCATCTTTTCCATGAAGTCATAACCCAAAAGAGCAGTAACAGCTGGCAGTGAGGACTTGCTTGTTCCAGCCCAACATCTGTGCCTTAACCTCTCATCATGAACACTTCCTGCAGGCTGCCCAACAAGCAAATAACTATGTTAGGAAAACAAAGCTCAGATTCACATCTCACCCCAGACAAACATGAAGGGGAAGAAAGAAAACATAGGGAAGTGGGGTTAGGGGCTAAATCACGTCCCAGAATCATGTCTAAGAGAAATGGTAAAAGATCTTGGAACAACGAAGGCAATTCATAGTTAGATGAAACATGGAGCTGTCTTCTTCTGGACACATATGGTCCAGCTCCTCAGCCATCACTCTAGGAGCCCAAAAGTTAAAAAGGCAAGAATGTCCACAGACAGATCTGAAAGGACAGCATCTTCTAAAGCTCCATTATGCTCTGGATGCAAATGAATCCCAGAGCCATGAAAGCTCTTCTGTTTCTCTGCCTGGTGTTGGATGTGCACTATGTGATGATGTAACTTTGCTCTCCCGATGATTTGGAGTTAAGTCCAGATATGCTGCTGAGGTAGGTCTGGAAGATACATAACATGGAGATGCAAATTCTGAAGTGTCATCACCTGTCAAGAAGCCCTTCTGCCAAACCCTTATATAGAGGTAGATAAAGGCAGACCTTTAACATCAGAAAGCATATGATAAGGTTTTATAGGTATTTTCTGTTCACTTCTGATACCTGTGGAGCACTGCGTGTTACAGAAGGAATACACCTTGTGTACTTTCTGATCCAGATGTTGCAGCACATATTGACATATTGCTTCAAAGTAATAGTTTTAGACTGCAAGACAGATGCAGTGATTAACAGAAGCAATATCACTTTTTTTTTAACCATTTTTCAAGCTCCGTTTGCAGATCACATAAGCATCCCTCACTGCTTATACAGACAGAAATGCACGCCTGGTGTAGGGGAATGGCATGCTGAATTGCTGCCAGTGATGAGGACTGGCATTGCAGGGTGGGGAGGGATTAAGATATTCTCCCCAAACGGGTTCCCTGATCTCCTGTTGCTCTTAGGTGTGGAAACCAGCTGTCTGGATTTCTACCAATAGACACTGAAGCCAAGCAGCCCCCTGAAATTCTGCGTGTGATTAGAAGTGGCCCTCACAGACAAGGTTAGCCTAGCTGATAGCCAGACCCTAAGGGATCGTGCCCAGTGCTACTTTCAGAGTAACCACAGACAAGTTCCTTACCTTGGCTGCTCACTCGGCCCCAGACATGACTCACCACAGTCAGGCAGGCAAAAAAGAAGCAAGCGTGAATCCTCATGGTGACCAGGACCTACATGAAGGCAAACATCAGGAAAGAGAAGTAAAGCTGCATTTAACCAGATCAAAAGCCACCTTCATTTTTTTGACTAATTCTGCTGCCCTGGAATCCCCTCTTCTTTCTGCAGGGCCATCTGTGGCAATCATCTGGGACTTTCCGAGGGTGGTGTGAACTCAAGTCTCCTGGCATGGTTTTTTGTTATTTTGTAGTCCCCAGTTAAGGGACTAGTTGGAATCTGCTCTCTGTACATCCCTGATAGTACTGTAAGGGTGGACTGAGAAGCACCTATTGAATTTTCCTATGATTTCTCTATTTTAGTTTACGATCTTGGTCTCTGATACAGTTGTTCAGTGCCTTGGGCCAATATTAAACTGAATTTATATAGGTGATGGGGGGTAAGCTTGGACCTAGCCTTAGTCTGCTTGGTCCTGGAGACAGGCAGTGCTTTCTTGGTAGGACAAGATCAACAGAGGTACAACAGTTAAGTGCTGGGTTCTGCTCCGATCATGTAAATAAGTGACATGGGCCAAATCACTGGTGTGATAGAGATTCCAGAACAACTTCTGTTCCAAGTAATACCTAAGTAATTTTTACAGACTTAACCATGTCAGCAAATCACTCTAACCGAAAAGTAACTTTTGCAGCATTCCCAGGGCTGGCTAGCTTAAGGACAGACACCCGTCACTCAGGCTACAGCTCGCTGACTTCAAGGGAAGCCCTTCTCTTATCTTTACTGGCCTGGATCTAACCTTTACTCAGTTTGGCTCAGAAAAGTTACACTAGCATAAAATCATCCTAGCTGATGAAAACAGTGCCTCCCCCTTGCCTCAGTCTCAATAAACAGAGTTTAAAACATATGCTGTTGGCCTTTTGCAACACATCGTTGGCATCTGTCATTTTTGTGCTACCCAATTCAGACGTATTGCTTTTGGCAAGACCAGACTATACAGGAGTTTCTTTCACTGCAGTTTGCAGCGATATTTCTGTTTTGTTCATTTTGATGGACAGGTATTTAGAGGCTCTTGGCAAATGCCTATTTCCCATCAAATATGTCAGCTTTTTAGTGATTAAAAGAAAAAATAAATATGCAAGTGAATGATCCAGCCATGATCTCCAAGTTTTTAATCAGGAGTTCTAAAATGTTTTAAGATTGAATGGAAAAATATGCAAGTTATAACAGAGAGATGTTAAGAACCACCCTACCCCCATATACAGACACATACATGCACACTAAACAGTCTGGGGATTTCTTTTTCTTTGATTGAAGATCAGGTTATATGGAACAACTGCGGTGTAATTGTAGCCCTTAGCCATGGGAAACACTTGCTTTTTTCCCCCCAGCTAATAAAATTAAGTCATTGCTTATAACAAACAGCAAACATTTTACAGGTGGGTTTTAGGAATGTGAGTATCAGAAAAGCAAGGCCTGCCCTTGTTATGCAGGCACTTATGCCGAGCAAGAAAGAAGTCTGCATTTTTGAAAAATTCCCTGAATCAATAATAAGGTTTATTTTCATCATTTTGCAATGCCAAAGTTGCTCTTAATTTCCTTGCAACTTCCTTGTGGATCTGCTGGCAAACAGGAGGCCAGCTGCAGGCAAAACACTGGATTATATATGACCTTTTCATATTAACAAGGGTTATATAGGGTCCAAGGTCCAGTGAAAAGAATGCACAGACTTCTCCAACCTACACTGAATCACGCTTACTGTAGGGTCTGATTCAGCCATAAGCTTCCACCTCCGATGCGTCAATAAGGAAGAATTCAGTATCAGCTCAGGCTGGGCCAAGTTAAGATCCCAAGAATGTAAATCTTTACTATTACAGTGTTGCAGCTAAAGCAAGGAATAAGGACGCGATGTTTCTTTCCTAGCTCAGAGACAAGCCCATAGATATTTTGCTTCCCCTCCAAGTTTCATTCTCCCACCTGTAAAACAGGGATGAAAAGAGATGCACCTGTTTCAGATGGTTGAAGATACATGGCTGGAGGAGGTATGCTTCCACACCCCACAGTACTTTCTGCCCCAAGGGATACCTGCTAGATCCCAAGCCCCCACCCGAGCGTCTGTGGTCCCTTCCCATCCATTTCTGCCCTTGCTGGTACAGCCATCTAGCCAGGCTGAGCCATGGACAAAGGCCCACCAGGACCACAGAGTCATTGCCCTGTTGGAGGGCAAGGAACCTCCTGCATCCTCATTCCTCTCTCCCGTTACTTGCTCAAGGAAAGAATCTGGAGACAGCAACACATGGAGCATATGGTAAGAATTTCCAGGCCTGGACAACTGGGTGTGGGAGGGACACACCACTTCCCAAAGTGGGCTGGAACATGACTTCCCGTTCGCCCCAGCTACATGTTCAGAGGGGATTTGGAGGGTAAGCCAGACGGATATTGCCTTACTTATGCAGGAATTTTTTAAAATAGTTGCTTCAATTAAAGAAAAAAAAAGATTTTCTACCTGAAAAGCCCTGCCACATTTTTAAATCAGCACAAATGAAGGTGAGAATTTTGGAGCATTATGAACTAATTCCACCCTCCACAGCCACAAAAGCCAGCTCATGGTTTTGGGGACATTTCTATCACTCCTCATCCCAGAGCACATCACTGTCTGCCACGAAGCACTGGCAGAAGCAGTGGCCTACCCAGCGCGAGACACGTGAGCAGCATGAAGCCTTCTGCCCCTTCTGCCTTGGCAGAAGCCAGTGCAGCACTAAGTGGTGTTTATCTGTTCAGAAGCGTTCACTGAATGAAGCTGAACAGCAGTTCCTCGCCTCCTCTGGACAAAAGGCAATAATCTACATGGGAGTTAGCCTGTGAGCACAGCCCAAACCAGACTGGTCCCCTGAGGTTGATCCATGTACGAAGGGAGACTCTTATGGAAGAACCACACAGAAGAAACCAGCAACCCTAGGAGAGTAGGATTTCCTGCCAGAGCTATGGAAAATAAATCTGTCCCACACTCCCTGAATGCTTTGCTAGTTAAAGGACCTAGAACAGATAAAAACATGTTCAGCAAACCCTTTCTTTACTCTCCAAAAAGCCTTCTGTGTTTCTGTTCAACCATTGAACCAAAATCCTCAATTATCTCAGCAATCATCTTAAAAAAAAAAAAAAATGCACAAGGTTCACTTTGGGACTGAGCACTTGCAGCTCCCCACAACCCAGACAGGTTTAAAAACATTGACTTGACGCACACACACACACACCACACCTACAGGTGGAAAAAAACCAACCCAGACAACTGCAATTTCAGCCATAAGCTAACAAGCTATTCCAATTACTGTCCTCTTTTGCTGAAATTTCCCCCAGGTTTTACCTATTAACCACAGAAGGAAAAAAAATTAAAAAACTAGTCAAACTCTTATTTCCCACAGCCATCACTCTAAAAGAATTTATCACTCTATAAAAAAGTCCTGGTGACATTTAGACCTCACCTCCAGTAAATTTGAGTCTTGAAGCTACTTCACCTTGAAAGGATCAGACTTGCAGGACCTTGTCTTCCCTACATGACACTGGAGGAGCTGCCCCTGCGCTGAGCTGCACCACTGGACTAGCTCAAAGTTTCTCCTCGTTCAAAAGTCTGCAGAAGTTCCCCGTTCTGTCAATATCCACACCCCCCCCAAAACCACACAGCTCCCCTAGCCCAGCCCAGTGACATCCAGGCAAACTCAGCCCCCAAAGGGGAATCAATCACAAACCTTTGCTGAGCAGTGCTGTGTGTTTTCCCTGAAGTCAGCGGGGAGGCGTGAAGAATCCAGCTACATTCTTAAATTGTGAGAGAAGAAGTCGGCTCCTTGTCTGCTTCTCAGCGTATTTAGAGAGATTCCAAGACGTCAGGACTGCTAGGAAAGGGGAGGAAGGGGAGGGAGAGAAGGGGGAGAGGGACAGCGATTCCCCCACCTCCTTCTCACCACGTAGCAGAGAGCAGTACTCTACGCATGGCCTGCTGCATGCAGCTAAATAAAGCACATAAAAAAAAGAGGAAGAGCCCACTTCTGTAAAACACAGTAAACATCTTTTACTGTTTTTTCTAGGAGGAACCAAATACTAAATTTCTATCTAGGAAATTGCATACTGATTTCCTAGAGCGCAGCAAAAAGTCAGGGTTCCCACCCACTGTCACCCTCTCAGGAATAAATTCACTTTGGCCACATTCACATCCCCTTAAATATTTCTGAGAGCCAGAGTTTGCTCTGAAGGCAAATAGTATTGCATTTGTTTAAGAAAATTAAGCACATCTGTATGTTTTGCAAGGCCAGAGTCTGAATCATATACTGGAAGCTTGATGGTGCTGCAGATTTCACAGCTGTTGGATACAGCTCTGACCTCGAATAGTAAGTGCTTCCCAGCCCCAGGAGTGCTTGTGAGAGCCACCCAGCCCTGAGCCAAAACATTTTTCAAAAGATTTTGTCCTCGTTGCCAAGAATGGAACAACTGACAGTAGCATTCCTCATTATAACCGGAGACCAGATTTTCAGCTGTACTCCCGGGAATGACAGCATCACTCTCATATTGCAACAGAATGAGCGATGTGAAAGTCACAATTGCCTTTCTACAGGAAATACAGACCCCTTTTAAATTGTCTAATTGGATGGAAAGATCATAGTTTCTAAATATGTTTGCAGAGTTATTATAAACATTATATACTTCTCTGCAGCTTTTACATTATATATGAGTATTTAAAGGTACCACAATATAAAAGCCAAAGGGTAACACTAAAACAAAACACTTAATCTTGTTAACCTTGTTAAAGCAAAATACAGAGCACTTGGTAGTCTGTGGAAACAGAATTGTTATTATCCTACATTAATTACCACAAATTACCTTTACTGTAATTCCTGTTGCATTTTAATAGTTGCTTAGATTTGCAATAGTTTACTCTAAAACTAGAAGGAGGTGAGAAAGGAAAGACCACGTTATCTCCTGCATTTCACTTTCAGGAAAGTCAAGACACAGAGTCAAAATGCATGCTCTGTTCGTGTCAGAAAAATCTAGAGCTGCTTCCAGTGTTTACGTTAAGGTTTTTGTTTGATGCCCTATCCTTCCCAAGGTACATAAACAATGCTGTACAGTCTCCGGGCTTTGTCTTGCTTTAGTTCAAGCCCAACACTCCAGATTAAACCTTGGTGCCATCAGAGAAGCCCACCCACTCCCAATACAGCAACACAAAACTGAATTTAAAAAGTAAACAGGCAGATAGATGTGCTTTGCTTTCCTTGTGCACTGAATGGCTGGGAATAACAATTGTATGTTGACAAATAGCTTCCAAGACTGTCTGGTTTCACACAGGGCCTGCAAGGACCCCAGTGGATTATCAACTCAAACATCTCGCTTGGATCATGTTCCAGTAATACCACTGCAAATAGGACTATTGCCTCTGCACGAGCACTAGGAGAGTAACTATCCCTTTATACCAAGGAAAAGAAGGCAGTCAGCAGTAATGTAACATACCTAATAAACAGCTGACGTCAGGTTTTCCAGGAAAGTCAGCTCCCATTTTAACACAAATCAAAGTGATCAGAGTCTTTCTAGGACTTGGCTGGCAGCCAATAGAGCTGCATTCAGGGACCTGCCCCAAGCAGGATTTCTGCAAATCATTCTGCTGTCTGTACAACATTGTAGGCCAATTATGAGCAGGATGCTCTGCTAACTGGAAGGCAAGAAACCTCCCCATTTTGTTGTTATTACCTGTTATTCTACATTTCATTCACTTGCAGGGTAGACCACATACGAATATTCTGTAATGCCTTTAAATGAAGTCATTCTGGGAGCAGTACAGCTCAGGAGGCCTAGATTTCAGTGGCTTTCACTTGAATCCGTTCCATCCCACATGAATTTCCCAGTGTCTAGTGATACAGTTGAACTCAGATGACAGCACTACCACCAAGGTAGACAGCGTCTCTCCTTTCCCCCACTGCCTGCTGTCACTAGGTTGGTAGCAAAGACCTCTGCCCTGCTGCTTACTGAAACTTGCTAATGAACTTAAGTAATTGTTTTAATTGTTTGGCGATGGGG